GTTCGTTTTTTTTTGTGTAACTTATTTATAGAAAAAATAACCTTCTTATCTAAAATTGAATAGGATAAAAATATCTAAATCAATACTTATGTTTCTTTGCTTTTTTTCTACACATTCTAAAATAAATAAGCATTAAAAGCCGAACTTCAAAATCTAGACGTAAGAAATGTGTGTTAGTAAGTGATTAATAATACGATAGTCACAAATGAATTTTGTCTCTCTCATTTTCAATTCCTTTTTTTTTTTACTGTTTTCTTTCGAGTAGTGGCGGCAGCCCTACTGGCTCAACAACGACATTAAAACAACATTGACGACAGTAGTTAAAGAAAAAGGCAATAACAAAAAGAATCGTTATAATGCTTGTTCAACATTTTTCTCCTTCATCTTCAACTACGACAATCACTAATTCTTTTTCTTCTAATTCTTCTTATACGACATCATTGAGGGAAAATAAAACGACGTATACTCTTTTGCCTTTTCTCAATTCTGAATCTACAGGATTTCAACCGACAATCGATCAAAATAATCCTATGGGCTGTAAAGAAAAAATTACAACACATTTATCGACTTGGCCAACAAAATTAACAACAGTCATGGATATTCATCGAAAACGTTATTCACAACTTAATCCAAGATTTAAACAACAACATCAACAACAAACAACAACTACTACTCTTCTTCAGCCTGTTCAAGAACCTGCTATATGTCCAGTTATTCTTCCATCAACAACACGTCTTCAACCGCGTTATCAAGTACGTTCAAAACAATATGAACCAACTCATCTTCCATCAGCACAAACAATTCAACGACCAAATACAAGTTATAAACAACAACCAGTATTATCATCAGACTCTAATCAACGATATATAACATTAGCAAATCTAACAAAAATTTTACATGTTCTTCAAACACATGCCAAACCTAATGATAGTGAAGCATCAATGAATATGAGTACATCAACTACAAACAGTACGAAACAACGTGTACAACAACATTTACAAGAAACAGCAGCACGATGGTGGAAACCAATTCGACCATCTGACAGACAATCACCATCATCAGTACCTTCATCCTTACCTGCACATACAACATCTACTACTACAACAACAACAACACAAGTGCCATCAACAGATGTACTTCAACAACGACAGAATAATCCTTCTTCATCATCTGTAAATATGTTAACATTCTTTTTTTTATTAAATAAATTAATTTCTTTTTGTTATTCTTCTAGATAAATCCTTTATCGTCTACACGACAAATAAATATACCTTCTATTATTACTACTGAAACCTCGAGATATGATGAATCCGAATCATCAACAGAAATTCAACCATCAACAACAGTAACTACATCAATTATTCAACCATCTAAAACACCTGATGTAAAACGTATACGACATGAACCATTAATAATGCAAACACGTGCTATGCGTCATTATTCATATGATCATCATCGTTATTATAATAATTCGAGTAGCATCAATTTTCTTCAACAGCATCGTTTAATTCGTCAAACATAAATTTATTTTATATTTCTCTATAACTTTTTGGTGACAATCAACATAAGTTAACATTGTATTCTTTTATGTTTATAATATTTTCGTTTGTTTATTAAAAATAAAAATATACATGAAAAATAAAAAATTCAATGTGTATTCTCAATCAAATTTGAATAGTAAAGAAGTCGTAACTCGATTTTAACCTGTTTTCGTAATAGTATATAGAAATAAAAAAGTGTATTATCGATCATATTACATAATGATTTCTCAAATGTCTTCATTCTTCTTTCGCAGTACGAACATTGAATATACATCACTTAAAATATACTTGTTATTACCGCAAGTCAAATAACCACTTTATACAATATAAAATCATATAATGGATACTTTGATTTTGAAAAGAAAAAATAAAAGTTGTACAAGTTTACTTGATTATCATATTTATTAAAATTGTGATTCTTTCCTTTGGTAAATTCATTTATATTTCTTCGAAACAGTACTAATATTAAAACCGAGCAAATTCCATAAGCTTGATCCGAGATATAATCATCAATGTTGAAAATTAATAGATTTACTATTATTATGAATGTCATAAATATTTTCGTTCGTAAATTAAGTTTCTTAATAAATTTATTATTTATCTTGGACGAAAAATTAACAGAATAGTTTATTGCGTATAAAGATCAATAAAAATAATTGAAATGACGATGTTGAATATATATCCATTGTGTTTATCGTAACAATACAAAATTCAATTAACATAACAATTCTTTCTACAATAATAGCACTTCGATGCATAACAACGTTGAAAAATATTCAAAAGAATATTTGTCTATTATTCATAACACATTATAATAATATTTTGCAAATACTTTCATATGACGAAAGTCATTCAAAATTTTAAACAAAAATATTTTGTCTACTATTTATTCACGTTCATCTTAAACAATAAAACAGAAATCTTTCTTTCTGTAATTTTATTATTCAAAACAAACTTTTGATATCGTAAAAGAGACAGTGATTATGAAATGAAATATAGAAAAAGAATAATTTTTATTTAAGTATATAATATTTTAATAACATGAACGAATATTTCGTATATCATTTTATAATCAATTCAACATCTAACACATAATATAGATACAAATAACGCTATCATAAGTGTTTTGATCATCGATTACATACATGTGCTATTGCTTTATTTGAATAATGAAGCGTGTGGCTTGCCGTCACGGTTCTTTGTCATTGACAAAATTCGTCTTCATGACAAGAAAATGAAACGACGCATATTGCACTGTTTTGAAAAAGCCTACCCTCGATATGTACCTATTCTTGTTTACGATTATGCAAATAAGACAGTTTTATAAAGACAACAATAAATAATTAAACTAAGATTAATAACAACAGGAGTACATTCACGATCAAAGAGTATAGTCCAAAAGAGACAATTGATAATGAGTAATGAAATTCTTCGAACTCTTTTTTTTAATATTTTCTCAGTAGACAAGTGTTCTATTCTCCTTCAATATCAACAAATTACTTATATATACGCAACTTGATGAAATCTGTTTATGTATAATACAGTATATTACTAAATTTACGATTCTACCTAATTGAGACGTATTTTCGACCTTGAAATGTTAACGACTCTTTTCAATAACTTACCTATACCTATTTATTACTCCTTCTCATCAAAGAGAAAAACATCTAAACAGTATAATAATATCAATCAAGTTCATTTGACAGATGTCGCTATAAGTCATTATCTAATATTAGTAAAATATTATCTTATTAAGTTTTATTTTTTTTTGTTTATGTAGAATTCTATTTTCAACATTTTCAAACGAATATCTATAATAATAAAACCTGATACCTTGATTTGTGAATGGCTAATATTTGAATGACTAATCATGACGATATTTCTTTTCTTTCCGTCTTTGTATTTGTCGCAATAATAACAGCAAAATTTAGCTAGTGTAATAATAACTTTCAATCTTGTGTTATTCTTCATTTGTACTCATTTACCAGAATAATCATAAAAATAATAATAATGTCTACTTCAAATGATCTTGGACAATGGTACAAAAGTATTCCACCTATAACACGTACCTGGTTTACAGCCTGTGTTGTTGTTCCATTTGCAACACGTTTTAAAATAGTTAATCCAATAAATCTTACTCTCCATGTTCGACCCATTATTCGAAGATTTCAGGTATATTTTTATTTGTTTTTCTTAAAAAATATCTCTTTCTTTCTCTCGCTCGCTATCTCTCTCTCTCTATATGTATTGATTTTTCTTCTAGATCTGGCGATTACTGACATGTTTACTCTTTTATCCTTTGAGTTTTGATTATTTAATTAATCTCTATTTTCTTTACCAATATAGTTCTCGTCTTGAAACAAGTATAGATTAATAAACAATAAATTAATAATATTTTTTATTTATTTTCAAAAAAGGTACTTTCGATGGTAAACCAGCTGATTATGTATTTTGTTTATTTTTTCTTGCGATATGCAATATTCTTCTTGGTATTATATTATCAATATCTGTAAGTTAATATATATTTATTATTTCGAGAAAAAAAATTTGTTTTTGTTTTATTGATTTTGAAAGGTATTAATGGAAGCAATGATTTTTAGTGTTATGTATATATGGTGTCAATTGAATAAAGAAACTATGATGTCATTCTGGTTTGGTATGCAATTTAAGGCAATGTATATGCCATGGGTTCTTCTATTATTCCGATGGGTTATTTCAAATACGTATGTTAATGTTTGTTATTTAAAAATAAAAGACATTTTTCTTTTTATTTAGATTACAAGTACCATTATGTGGTATTATTGTTGGTCATTTATATTTTTTTCTTGCTTTTAAATATCCACAAGATTTTGGTGGTGCACATTTTTTACAAACACCAAGTTTTCTGTATGTATACTTTCCAAATATGTAATAATTATATTTTTTTTGTAACATAGATATCGTTATTTTCCTAATGATCGCGCAAGTGTGAGTGGTTTTGGTACACCACCACCGCCAACAGCTCGTCATCCAGATGATCCTGAAAATAATGATAGAAATCCTGGTCGACAAATATTTGGTGGTCGTGGTCATGTTCTCGGTGGCAATTAATAGATCTCTATTTTCTATTTTATTACTTACGACTTTACATCTATTTCTCAACTAATTGTAACAATAAAAAACTTGCTCAAATCAAATAACTAACATTTTTCTATTTTCTCATTTTATTTTTCTATGTCATTTATTTTTTTAAATTTTTTGTCAATTTAGTAACTAATTTTTTTAACTGTTTTGAATCTCATTTTTTTTTGTTTGGAATACTCTCATTTGGAACATTATGTTTGTTTTAGCTAATGATTATCGATCAACAAAAAAGATGATGGAATCAAATATGGATATTATTTTGTTTTCTTTTTTTGTTCAATAACTCTTATTGAAGATTATTATTCTCATAGAAAAAAAAAATAATAATAAAATAATATGACGCGTCATAAACGACGTCATTCATCTGATCGACATAGTGAAGACGAACGATCACGTTCATCCTATCATCATAAAACTCGTCGACATTCATCGATAAATAATGAAGCAAATAATTCATGTGATAGACGAAGAAATACTCGATCAAGATCAACATCTTCATCGATATCATCATCATCATCATCGACGACAACATCATCATCTTCTCGATCAGGTGATTCTCAACGACGAAAAAATACACCAAATTCACGTCATCGTCATTCAAAACGAATATATGACAACGACCGACAACAACGACGACCACATCATAATCGTCGTCGTCAACGATCAAAATCACGATCAAGAAGACGGTTAGTTCTTTTTTTTGTTAATTTTTGTAAAGAAATCATTCGAGATAATATTTATATTTCGAATACATCTCTGAAGATCTTTCATGTTGTAATACGATACTAGTATAAAGCTTTAGGCCCTACCTTTTATAAGCTATAAATAGATAGATAGAAATCATAAATAAACTTTGATGAATGATAGTTATTATTTGTTATGATTCATTTAGTATTTCTATAATTAGTTCCTATAGCAATTCTTTGAGATTTTCATTTACATTTCTTATTATGAAATTCTTCTATAAATAATAACATGACAGAACTAGTTTGATTGATCATTATTCAAATAAAAATTCTTATAAAGTTAATGTATTAGTGTCATATTACCTGTAAATAGTTGGAGTCATATTTTTGTATTTGATTATTTTTCATCCAGACATAGATATTTACGGATATTAAGTCAATCAGTTTATAATATACTACAGACTGACGATAATTTCGCGGCAAGTACTAATTATTGTTTTATTTTTAGTAACAGATTTACCGGTCTTCTTACTGTCTATTTGTTATTGAATCTAAACAATCAAACAAATACATCGACTTTCTTCTCTTCTATGTCTAGATAATATTCATTATTTATCCTGTTGATAAATCTAGATGATAAAGATTCTACTTAGTAGTAGTAGTATTTCTTGATGTATTTTTAGCTGAAATTGTATAAATATAGAATAATAATAACGAAAATTTCTCATCTATATTTATTATGGAACCTTGAATTTGAAAAAACAAATTATTATCTTAGTCATCTTTGTTGAAAAATAGTACATGATGAGATTGGAAAGATATTTATTTTGAAAATATTTTATATTTATAAAAATTATCTCGAATGATTTCATCTTTGATATTATATGAAATACATAAGCATGAGTAGCCACAGCAATCACTTTTTTTTCTGTCTCTCTCACTCTCTTTCTCTTATCTACCTTGCTGTTATTTTGTTTTTATTTTTTCTTCTCCTTCTTTTCTGCCTTGTCTTACCTATCCTCATTAGTGACCCTAATTTGTGTATAAATAACACAAAAATAGCAGAAAAATTTATAACTGCATCATATACCATATGTATGTATTAATCGATCGATCGACGCTGTCGTCTTCCTAAATTGAATCATTTGGTTTTTTTTACCTTGATGTAAAATACTAATGATTGTTGGTCGGCAATTATATGGAAATACTATTGGTAAAATATCCTCATTTCATTTTGGTGAGGATATAGACTATCTAACACGACAATATGAACAACAAAATATTTCTCGTCATCATCGTAAAAAACATCGACATCATAAAAGTGATAAATTCGAACGATTTATACTGAACAATAATAATAATTACTTTATAAAGTATGTTTAAAAAATAAAGATCTATTTGTGTGTATATATATCTATCTAAAGTTAGTTTTATATGAACAATTTATCTCATCTTCATTTACACAGCAGGAAAATAATAATATTTTTTTGTCTATATCTTAATCATAAAAATTCTGTGTATATGAAACACCATGCATTTGTTTGATATTCATCTTATTATACTAACAGAAAAGAAATTAATTCTTATTCGATATCGTAAATATAGAGGCAATAACAACATCATTTACTTCTTTTCCCTATAAACTAACTATAGAATATTCTTCTTTTTCTTTTGTAAAGTAATACTTAGAAATAAATAGTATATACTGTAGGCGGATAAAAAGAGCATTGAGGATAACAATTTTCTTTTTCTTCTGCTGCTGCTTCTTCTTCATCGTCGCCGTTGTTGTATGTACGTAGTACACGTTTAGTGCTAGCTAACGCGTAGTTTGTATATCTGTCTTTAGCATAAATATAATTACTTTGAATATATATCTTCATCCTTTTCTTTCTTTCTGTCTTTTTATGTGTATATCGATTCTATATATATATGATGGGAAGAAGAATAAAAGAACGTAACATATGAGAAAATCTATCGCCTACATAATATCAATTCTTTTGCGGATATCTAAAGAGAAAGAACGGAAGGAATGAAAAAAAATATCAACTATACAAGTTTTCTGTAGATCAACACTTCCTTCTCCTTTTTTTTCTTTCTTTTGCTAGGGTAAAGAATAAGAAAGAGGCGTTGTCTCTTTCTTCTTATTCTTCCATACATTCATCTATGCATATCTCTTGCGTAGTTTTCTCTCAGTCCGTTATTCATTCTTATCTAATCATGAGGAAAAACGAGTAGAGAGCATCGTCGTCGTCTTCTTCTTCTTTTCCCCTTCTACGAGCATATATACATATACATATTCTGATGCTGTAAGACAATCAGCAAATGACAAGCAATATCAGTTCAGGCACAACCGGTCACGCATATCGCCTTCGACCAATGCCAATAAATTCAGTAAATAATAATTCAAATATATCTGGACAATCATCAAATACAAATCTAAATAGTAATAATAGTAATTCATTATATTATGGTTCATCATTAACAGCAGCACCTACAATTACTCCTCCTACATGGAGTTATTCATCACCGAGTCAACTAGCTCGGAAATATGCTAACATAGCGCCTATTTGGTGTCATATAACTAAACCAAGACAATTGAAAAAAAAAATTTGCATCAACATTTCATCAAGCACAATCATTAGTAAGTTTTTATAATGAAGATCGAGCACCAAGTGAACGACGTAGTTCAGTTAATCAACCACAACAAAGTCAAATACAATCTCAACAACAACCCATTGTACATAGTACAAGTATGAATCCACATAATCATCATCATGAGTCAAATAGTTACCGTCAACAATATACTCCACATTATGTTTCACATGATCTTGCTAAAGAACCAATATCTTCATCACGAGCAAAAAAAAATATACAGGTGGAGCTTTAACAATGCATATATCATCATCATCACGTTTACAATCACCCCCACCGCCGCCGCC